TCTGTGTCTCTCATGAATGAATAAATCTTAAAAAAAAAAAAAAGACTGGACTCCAAGTTGCTGGGATTTGAACACAGGATCCTGACAGCAAAGCCCACCTCAACTCCTTCTCCCCACCACTTCCTCCAAGCAAAAAGATGGCAGTTCAACAGAAGGGTCCTGAGGTAGAAGGTTATTAGCCCAGTGGTCTGTGAGGGGATGGCTGAACTTTCAGGGGATAAGGTAATGTGAACACCCCAAATCCACCTTGGGCCTAGTACCCTGGGGCCTTGCTCAGTTGTTAGGTGGAAGTTGTATTACCCTCTTTTCTCTGCTTCATGCCTTTTGGACCCTACCCTCTCTGTAGTGCCATGGAATTAAGGAAGACTACTTCCCCTCCAGTGGCCTAAGTGAAAATCAGAGGTCTTTTCAAATGCTTTGTCCAGTTAACCTATTCCTCCACAGAGCCAGCCACACTGCAGCCAATGGAAAAAGGACAGCATAATCTCAACCTGCACACACTTGAGGAGAAATGACTACATGTGATGGGGGAGATAGGAAAGGGCTGTAGAGTGAGGACTTCAAATTTGGGGGTCAGATCTTTGAGACTGGATATTTGGGACAGAGATTCCCTTGTGGATTAGAATCCTCACCAGGGCCCATAGGGTTCCTACTCCTTTACTTTCTTTCTTTCTTCCTTCTCTCTTTCTTTCTTTCTTCTTTCTTTCTTTCTTTCTTCTTTCTTTAAGATTTTATTTATTTATTTGAAGGGGGAGAGAGCGAAACAGGGAGAGAGAGAGAAAACATACAAGTGGAGGGGAGAGGCAGAGAGAGAGAGAGGGAGAAGCTCCATGCTCTCTCAGCAGGGAGCATGATGTGGGGCTGATCTTAGGACCCTGAGATCATGACCTGAGCTGAAGGCAGATGCTTAAACAACTGAACCACCCAGGCACTGCCCCTACTCCTTTTCTGACAGAACCAGCTCCACCACATCCCAGAGCCTCTATTCCCACTCCTCCTACCACTGTTGCTAAATTTAAACTCTCATCTGTCCTTTTCCTGTAGGATGTATTTTAAGGGAGTGACAACGTGTGCCGCAGGAGATGCAGTGACACCAGCACTGTGAAAATAAGCATGCCAGCTCCTCCTCTCTGTCTGTCAGACATACCCACCCACCAGGGACTAAATCATCATCCTCCTCATCTATCCCCTTCTCTGACTCTCTCCCAGGAGGGAACTCACCATGAGCCCTCAGCAGGAACCTGGGTGAGGAGAGGACCCCCATAGGGTGGAGTCCCAGGAAGCAAGACCCACAGTGCTATAGAAGAGCATAAAATGGACAGAAGCTCGTCCTTAGTCCCTGCTTGCAGACATCACCATGGAACACTCCAGTGTCTGAGGGACTCACCAGATCAACACACTGTCCAGAGGAGCCCTGAGGTGTGATAAGTCTGGGGGAGCTTGGGGGATGTGCTTTCAGGAGTCCCCAGAATGGAGATTAAAATCTGAAGGGAATATGAGATCTTCCATTGCTCCTAGAAGAATTCGCCATTCTTGGCCTGCCCCAATAAAGCCCCAGGGGTGGGGGGCTGGTGGGTGGGGAAATGGAGGTTTCTGAATTGTTGCTGATTAGTGTACCAGCCCAAAGAGTGCAGAGTGGAATCAGAGACTCCTGAAGTGGGCAGGGTGGTGTGTTTACACAGCACCAGTGTGTCTGTGTCCACCTGCCCACAAGGCTCAGGTGAGCTTTCAGGTCTCTGATCTGGTAACAGAATGAAAGACACACTCTATTCTTGAACTGGTGGTGACAGCATGGCTTTTCCCAAGGGCATAGCTTTTCATCAAGATTCTTTCAGGAAGCTAATCAATTTACACTGCAGAAAGGAGACTTATGGGAGAAACAGCTTTCTAGTGCATAAGGAAAGATCTGAGTTAGACCAACGGAGATATGTTTGCTGTTTCTAATTAACTTGAGAATAGGTAAGTTGGAAACCCTGTGCAACGCCTGGGATCCTGAAGCTTTGCCGGCTGCTGTGAGGGGGATTAAAGAACATCCTTCTAGGAGATCTTGAGCAACAAAATAAAAACCCATTTGGACTTTTGCCTGGTGCCCTTTCTCTGCATGATTGTAGTTGGCATCTTGCCTCATTCCTGGTTCCTATTTCTTTTTTTTTTAAAGATTTTATTTATTTATTAGAGAGAGAGCACAAATGGACAGAGAGGTGGAAGGAGAGGGGAGAGGGACAGAGAGAAACAGATTCCCCACTGAGTAGGGAGCCTGATCTGGAGTTCAATCCCAGGACCCCAGGAACATGACCTGAGCTGAAGGCAGAAACTTAACCGACTGAGCCATCCAGGCCCTTCCTGATTCTTATTTCGTGTGTGTGTGTGTGTGTGTGTGTGTGTGTGTGTGAAGTGGGAGGTGGAGAGGAGAGAGACAAAGAGGCAGAGATAAAGACTGAGAAAGGGAAGGCAGACCAGCAAGCAAGAGTAGCAGTTTGGAGGATGTAGTGGCACAAGGAGTTCAAGGCCTTCTCTAGGCCTCCAGGCTCCTACTTATACCTTCTACCCACCATGACACACCTACCTGCCCAACTATCATAGAGGGAGATAGTGGTCCCCCAGGGTTGAGATCTTGGGTGTCAGACACTGAACATAAAGAAGAGAGACAGGAAAGATTACACCTATAAAACATAACAGGTGGTCAGTGGTTCTGATTGTGGAGAGAGTCTCTAGGAAATGAACATTTCAGAAGAAACCTCTGGTCCCCGAGACAGATGATCCAGGAAGACCGAGTCAGGCCGAGGTTGGGCAGATGTTAAGAGGAAGACTCTGTTACTACTTGCTCTACCTGCTGCAGATGTATATACAACAAATGGGGAGACAGAGTTCACAACAAGGTTGTCCTCTCCTCCACCTGCTCCCTAGAGCCAGAGTTTGAACCAGAGATGAATAAAAACCCCGAGTCTCAGCCACACTGGAGGGGCACCAAGAGCCAAGACAAGAATAATGGGATCCACTGTGTGGGAAGCTATAGCCTCTGAGACCAGGGCCAGGTGAGGAAAGTAAGGAAAAGCAAGAAGGAGGAGATGGAGGTAACTCACTAAAAACTCTCTCACCCCTTTTAGAGCAAAGGCTCTCAGATGTTTGAAGGCTCTACCTACAGAGCCATCACCTGAGCCTCTGAAGAACTCCTGGTTGAACAGGTAGGGCCACCTCCCACTTGGTATTGCCACAGACATGCAACTGCCAGCTTAGCATCTGGGAAGGTCCTCCTACAGGACAGGCTGCTGTGGGGCATCTGCTGGGTCCTCTGTGCACTGACTGCCCCCTTTCCCAGCCAGAGGCCACCAGAGCCCCTCTCCTGCTGCTAATAAAGTCTTCTCTCAGTCTGAGAGCCACACAGGTCACCTCACTCATTATTCACAGAGCTCCCACCACGTGCCCGACACTATGCCAGTGGCTGAGGATCAGCAGACTGGGTGGTGGAGACAGGCATAGGCCACAGCCTGGGAGGAGATGCTGTGGTGGAGGCATGAACAAGGAGCACCAGAGCACAGACTTCCTGGAAGAGGCAGCATCAAACTGAGTCTTCAGTGATACGTGGAGGACTGCTAGGCACACAAAGGGGAAAGGGCGAGCTAGGCAGGGGGAACAGCACATGCAAAGACACAGAGGCACAGAAAGAGCAAGGTGGGCTTGGAGAAGCACCAATGGTTTGTGCGACTGGAGCCCAGGTGCACAGGGGTGGTGGCAGAGAGGACAGAGAGAGAGAGAGAGAGGGAGATTGGGCCTGACCCCCTGTGTTAGAGGACCTCCCAAGGTCACCGGACTCGGTCCTGGCAGTGACAGAGAGTAGGGACGGTTCTAAACAGGGGAGTGGCATAACCAGAGCTGCACTTTAGAAAGGTCGCTGAGACCCAGAGTTGGGCTGCAGTGGAGCAAGACATCGGGCAAGGAGACCAGGTGGGAGGAGGCACAGAGGAGGCTCTCGCAACAGATAACACAACAGGTGTATCTTGAGGTATGAATTGAGACAGCAACAGCTAGTAGGGGGAAGAGAAAGAAAGACATCTTTGGGAGATTTTAAGGGGTAAGAATGACAGGATCTAGTCACCATTTGGACATGGGGTTAGGGAAGGGGAGAAATAGAGACGTCTAGTCACCATTTGGACATGGGTTTAGGGAAAGGGAGAAATAGAGACGAACTCCCAGGCTTCAGCTTTGGAAACTGAGCCAAAGGGGAAAGGGATAGGTGGCAGGGAGTAGAGCAGAACTCGGGCAAAGGGTGGCTTCAAGGAGACAATGGTATGTATGTGTAAACAGAGGTGGGGAAAGGGGTGTGGGTGGGAGACACACACGTGGAGGCATCAGCACGCAGCTGGTAGACAAAGCCATGGGTAAGGCCAGGGCATCTGGGCCCTGGATGGAGCCTGGGCTGCGCCCATGAGCTCCACCTCCATCCCAACTGTGTTACTGAGAACCACAAAGAACCACTGATGCTCCAAGCTCCTCACTGGATAGAAAGGAATTAAGATGTGGATCCCTGGTATTTCCCAAGACATGGAGGGCACCAGAAGGATGCTCCCAATACAGCTCCCTCTTCTGAAACGAGCCCATCTTGTTACTGTTCCTTACTACCTGGAGAACATGAACCAGAGCCCAGTCTCTTGTTACAAATAGTAGGGTCACCTGCCCTCTCCACGCTGGACTCCTGGGCTAGAAGCTACAGATCCAAGAGATGAGGAGGGGCTGGCAATGTCTTCCCCCAAAGCCCAGGCATCCATGGCATTCCCTGAATCATCTATGCTTTCTAGGTGGTGCTAAAGGAAGAAGGCAGGGGGGACAATAGTATCTCATTCTCAGTGGCCTGGATTCTGGAGATTTACCCGAGGGGGCTCTTTGACAGCCCTATCCCCTCACTTCAGCCCTGCTCAGAAACCCAAACCAACCCTGAGACTGGAGAGCCTGCCACCTACACAGCACCCACACAGGATCAGGCAGGGAGGATGCAGCTCACAGAGCTTTTTCTTGTTGTTTTATTTGAAAACCCTAGGGTGCATCCCTTCCCTCACCACACCCATCCCCCTACCCCACCGCAGGACATGACAATGCCACACATACACACAAGGCTGTGAGCTACACACAGAACACTGGGGTTGCGCTCACAGCAACATGAAAAAATATACATTATATATAATACCTGGCCCCCCCACACACACATTCCCCCTGCCATCCCCACAACCTAGCCACAACCAGGTCGTGTAGGAAGGGGCAGGGGCTGTAGGGCCTCAGGCAAGGAGAAAAGGGGAAAGAGGACAGAAAAGGAAGGAGAGTGGGCAAGGTGAAGAAGCAGGGGTCCCCGGAGTGAAATGGAAAGAGAGAGAGAGGAGGGGACAGAAGAGAAGCCATGAAGGCCCAGCTGAGGGAGCCCCAGGGAAGGAAGGCCTCCATGGACAGGAGAGTAGGGAAGGGTCGCCTTGGATCCCACCCCTGGCCGCCAGTGACACCCCCACCTCCCCCATCCAGCACATGGCCCTGGGGGAGAGACAGAGACATGGGCCAAACTAAGGGGCCACCCTGGGGGCAGAGAAGGCAGCCAAAGTCTTCTAGGGAACAGGAGCCCAGAGGCACAGGAGGGAGGTGGACTGGGGGCAGGGGGAGGCAGACCCCAGCGGGGGCACCCACTGGGATTTGGGATTAAAGGATGACTCATTCTGAAGAGCTCTCTTTCTCTTGGTCTCTTCTCTCAGAGTGTCCTTGTCTCTTTTCTGGGGGTGCTTCTGTCTCACCAGGGCAGAATTCTCTGTTCGGAGAGGGGTGTTGCATTAGTAGCGGTGCGGAGGGGTCTCAATGATGCGTCTCTCATTGCTGCTCGGGGAGTCCGCTGCCTCTGAGTCACTGCTGTCCTCATCTTCCTGCTGGCCACTGGCAGCCCCCGCCACACAGGCCTGCCGATTCTGGTAGGACTGGACGAGGAGGGAGCAGAAAGCACAGGGCTCAGCGGTCTGCACAGACCCCAAAGCCTCGCCTTTGGGGGCCACACTCCCTCAGGCCTTTTACTCCCCCCCCACCCCACCCCCACACACACCTTTCTCCTTCCCAGTCCTGGCAGCTCACACTGGAGCTTTTTGCCCAGGGCCTGGCCATTCATATGCTCCAGCTGAATGTTGCCCTTTCCCACTTCCCAAGCCCACTCACCTCCATAGGATTCACGATAATAGTGAGCGCTGAGTCATCCCAGAAGAGGTCAGGGTCCTTGGGGTCACTGGAGGTCTCTGGAGGCCCACCAGCCCCTGAGACGCGGCGGTGAAGGGAGTGGATGCGCACGAGGCCCAAGATGACCATGAGCACCAGGAAACCCACGCACACCACAATGATGAGAGTCGCTGCACTAGGGACCACTGCGGGGAGAGTGTGCAGTGAGGAGATTGTGGCCAGGCACACCTACAGGGACGTGACACAGAGGGGGGTGGGGGGTGGGGAGCACCCTGGGGAAGAGGAAGTCCTGGAGTAAGAGAAGACAGGATCCTCCGTGGCTCAGAAGGAGGGAATACCCTGTATAAGCCGGAGGAGAAATAGAGCCCTATTGTAAGAGCAAGAGATAGGGAAGAAAGGGGGCAGAAGAGCTGCTAAGGCCAAAGGCACAGACAGATGGAGGGAGCTGTCCAAAGGGAGGCATGGGCAGGGGAGGAGAGCTCCCAGCCCAAGGCTATTAGGAGTAGCGCTGTTCTCAGTCAACAGAGGGCAGGACTGGAGCCTACCGGGGTCATTCTGCCTCTGCCTTCCCCAGGGACCACTCAGCCTAGGGAAGAGGTGCCTGGCGCCCAGTTGGGGAAGGAGAGAGGCAGTCACACAGGTTTAATGGTACAAGAGGAGAGAATGTCCTCCTGCATCATGAGAGGAGAGGCAGGCCCCAAGCCCGGCCTGGAAGCCAGGAGATGCTGACACCCAAGGTTGGGGGACAGATCCAAGGGGCAAGGCACAGCCCCTTCACTTACGTACCTGGACTGCGCTCATTCCTGCTCTGTGACACCGCCCTTCTCCCCATGGGCTCAGGGCTCCTGGACCTCTGGGGCTTCTTCTCCTCCCAAATCTCCCCCTGAGGTAGACCAACCTCCCCTTTGACCCTGTCGCACCCCTGGCCCGGCAGCCTTACTGTGCCGCCGAGCCTCAGGGGAGCACAGACCCTGGAGAGCTGTGAGACAGAGAGAGGGGCCTGCACTTTCACATGGACCTCAGAGCTGATGGCAGCAAAGCAGAGGTGTGCGCACAAGCATATGCCCAGGAAGAAAGTGTGGGCACACAGCTGGACAAGAGCTACCACACCCTGTACCCGAGTCAGGACTCTGCCAGCCCACACAGCCGCCTGCACCAGCCACCAGGCAGCCTGCTCACACAGCTGGAGCAAAGGGATGCATCTGAGGGTCTCCAGCAAGGCACAGCAGAGCCATATGTGCAGGGTCACCCAGCTCCCTGCCAGCTGGGCACACCAGGCAACCCCCTGAAGGAAGACGTAAACACCCCAAATGTGGGCTGTGAGAGCCACAGAACAGGCAGCCGTGAGCATGGCCCTGGCCACCTCCCACACACATACATACAGCACCCGGGGAGGCAGGAGGAGCCAAGACCAGAAAGCCCACAGCCCCACAGACAGCAAGTGGAGGTAGAGACCCCACACAAGTGTCCCCAGGCTGAGGGCCCGCGTAGGCAGCTGGGCCACTCTACCCAACATGGGTTCACACACCTGCTTACTGTTGTGCACAGAACCTCACCCAACCACAGAGGCTCGGTGAAGCCCAGAATCTGGACAGTCCCGTCACTCAGGGATGATCATGTGTATGCAGGGCATAGACACAGCCCATACATATACCTCCTGGTCCCAAATTTACTCACAGCCTTGAAGACTCACATGTTGAGAGACAGAGCAGAATATAAAGAAGCATACAGCATGGGAGCACACACAGCCTGTTGCATACCCCTCCTCCCCAGCAACCAGCACCTGCAGACTGCTCCAAGGCCAATCAAGTGTGTGGAGAATGCCCTGCCTCAGCAGGCACACTAACTTCACACCTCCCTGAGGCCACCCTGATGGCCCTCTGCCAAGTTGGTCCCCATCCTGACCTGACCTATAGCTCACTTGCGGCCACTTGCCAATGAGAGCTGATTCTGCTAAACAGGACCGGCAGGTTCCCTGGGCACTGGCTCTAGGGCAGAGATGGGTCTGGCTAGCTCAGCATTTCTCGACTGCTTAGGGATGAAGGAGGAGAGAAGGGGACAGAGGTGCTTTTTCTGACCATCTGCAAGGGAAGGGTCCTTCCCAGGTCGCCAAGTCAGTGGGCAAGATCCAGGAGCAGTAACCCTGCCAAGAGATGACCTCTGTGGTTAAGCTCAGGCTCTAGAATGGAGATGCTCTCCCCGTTCAGAGTGGAGGCCATTGCAGATAAACTTGCTCTAGGAGCACAATGATGAAAAGCTAAAGTTTCTGGTTTATGCCTTAATCAAATGCGTTTGTTCGTCTGAGCCCCGAGCCCGGTGAAGCAAAGGACAAGTTGATTGCCAGAAATAAGAAATGACCTCAGGACAGACAAAATGCAAACCATGTATCTGCAGGCAAACAAGTATAGTTAATTAAAAATGAGCCTAGAAGCTAGCAGGATGGCAGGGCTTTTAAATTAGTGACTGACAAAAACCAAGAGTTTGAAAAGGGCAATCAACCTTTCTTGCTACATTAGATCCAAGCAGTTCATTCTGGCCTTGAATGACCTGCAGTAGCCAACATGAAGGAGTGTTTTATCAAATAGCCCTTGTGAAACTTCTGGTTTCAGTTGGTTGTGAGGACACTGTTGAAAGCCCTGGCAATAGTCCTGCATGGTGCCTCCTTTCTAAAGAGCCTTGGGAGAAATTTCTTTCTGCTCTCAGTCGTGGGACTTCTCTTGAAATACTGGCTGGCTCTTATCATATGACTTCATAACCACTCAGGTTTCCTCTTGCTTAAGTTGCAAGGAAGCTCAGAGCCCAAATTCTGGCCCACTATAGCAACCACAAGTATCTCAGGGTATGTATTTTGTGAATAGACTTTATTACCTGCCTGCATCTTATTCTTATTATCCCTCCCACACACACACACTCCCTAGTTCATTTTCTATGCTTTCCCTATTCCCCCCACCTTTTATTTAAACTTAGGCTCCATATCCAGCACCCAGTGTGGGGCTTGAACTTATGGCCCTGCAATCAAGGCCTGAGCCCTGAGCTGAGATCAAGAGTCAGACACTTAACCAACTAAGCCACCCATGTGCCTCTATGCTTACCCTATTTCTTTTTTTTTTTTTAAGATTTTATTTGTTTATTTGAGGGAGAGAGAGAGAGACAGAGAAAGAGAAAGAGAGAATGAACAAGGGAGGGACAGAGGGAAAAGCAGACTCCTCACTGATCAGGGAGCCCGATGCGGGGCTCAATCCCAGGACTCTGGGATCATGACTTGAGCCAAAGGCAGACGATTAACCAACTGAGCCACCTAAGCACCCCTATGCTTACCCTATTTCATTGTAGATCTTCTTGCAAAGCTGCAGATACTTGTAGGAAACAAAGTAGGGAAGCCATTCCCAAACTTGGCTGCATGTTAGAATCACTTGGGGATCTTTAAAAACCACTGAGGCCTGGCTCCTACCTCCATTCTGATTTAACTGGTATAGGGCATAAAGTAACCTAGGAACCAAGTGTTTTTACAGCTCCCGAGCTGATTCTTATGTGTATCAAAATTCAGGATGACTAGATAAATATTGCCTTCATCTCTCACCACACCCTTCTGAGACAACCTTCTTCTCCCTAGCCATGAACACCCCAAGCCACTGCCTACGCCCCATGCTCAAATTCTCATTCTCTCTCACGCTCATCTAAAATCTCTTCTACCCTTCAAGGTCCAAGCTCAAACTCTACCTGGGCCACGAAACCTTCCCTGACTGTCCCAATTCACACTGATTTCTCCTTTCTGGCACCCTTAGGAGCTTCAGAGAAATGAACTCCCTATCCCATTGGAGGGGATGTGGCCTCCTTCAGTTTCTCCCTGGTTAGAGCAAATTGAAATTGCAAAGCCATAACTCTGTAACACTACACTTGCAGTTGGGAGGGTTCCTAGACAGTTGGGAGGTGGAAGGAAGGAACACTGCAAATAGAGAAGGCATAGGGAACAGGGTTTATGAAGTGGATCTTCTGGTATGCTCAGGAGCTGTCAATCACCAATCCCTTTGGTGAACCATGAACCCTGCATCCTACTCAGGCCAAAATAAGAGAAAAAGTAAAAGCAGGCTGCCTCTCTCAATTGAAATCACAGAGAGAAGTTTGGTTGGTGCGGACATCAGCTCAGAACAGTAGATGGGGAGGCTGGGTTTCACTCTGAGGGGGTGAAGCAAAGGCAACCTTCACACACCCCGGAGCACTCCCAGGCAGCTTCTGGGGATGAGGGGTGAGAAAATAAGACTGCCAGGCCAGCCAATGTGGGGCAGCTGGCTGCTCAGGGCACGAAGCTCTGGGGTGGTTACAACAGTGATTCCCTCCCCAGGAACCCCATATCAGAGAAAATAAGGCTTGAGAATCTCACAAGACCCAGCAGCAATGCCAATCTGGATCTACTTTGAGCCTAACCTAAGTAGTAGAACCCAGTATCCAACCCAGATGAGGTTGAGTGGGATGATTCCCAAGGAAAGAACTGGAGAAAGAGCTAGGGAGTCATGGGGGCCTGCCAGGGGGGCGGGGGGGAGCTGGCCCAAGGGACCTATTTAACAAAAATGGGTCTCTAAAGATTGTGTGATGTTTCTATGAAGCTTTGCAACTTGGTTATGCATTATGCTCTCCCTCTTCACCCCTACATCCCTACTTCCTCCACCCCTACCTCCAACTGTTTTGCCATAGTGAGTAAAACACTGAGAGACTCCTGCAATTGTTTCTAGAGACAACAAGGAAGAAGGGTACCAGTTCCAGGGAAAGGGAACTCTCTAGTGATGGCCACCACTTAAGGGGAGGAAACCAGATGGATTCCCTGGGAGTACCAGGGAGCTAACCTCAGCCAAAAAAAAGCCCTAGGAAGCCCTCAGGAGCTCCCCCAAATTAGATGCAACTATAAAATAATGAGAGAAAGAAAGAAGAAAGAGAGAAAGGGAAGAGGAGGGAAAGAAAAAAAGAAGAAAGGAGAGGAGAGAAGACAAGAGAAGAAGCAAGCAAGCAAACATCAAACATAGCTGTGGATAAGGTATGGCTCTGAAATCCTGCTGCCTGGATCTGAATCCTGGCTCTTATCTCTTTCTAGCTGTGTGATCTTGGATAAAGTGCTTAACCTCTCTGGACTTCCGTTCCCTTACCTTTAAAGGGGATAATTCTAGTACCTATTTCATTTGTTGTTCGTAATTACTAAATGAGTTAATATGTATAAAAGCCCATGAGCAAGGTATCTGGTACACATATCTATGTGTTCACTATTTTTTTTATTAAATGTATTGATATGAACTCTGTGACTTTCAAGGTCATGTTTGGAGACCATGGACTTCTTCCAAGAAAGTATTTTTCAGAATTCCTTAGGAAATTGCCTTCGAGCCTATAATACACCCTTTGACTTTTTTCAAAAGTGACAAATCTGGGCCCTCTGAGAGTGGGTTGTATGTTTAAAAACTTCAAATGAGGTCAGCACGGGGGGCTCAGTGGTTTAGCACTGCCTTCAGCCCAGGGCCTGATCCTGGAGACCCAGGATCGAGTCCCACGTCGGGCTCCCTGCATGGAGCTTGCTTCTCCCTCTGCCTGTGTCTCTGCCTCTCTTTCTCTCTCTGTATGTGTCTCTCATGAATAAATAAATAAAATCTTAAAAAAAAAAAAACTTCAAATGATATCCCAAGCCAACTCTGACAAAAGTGGCTGACGAAACTGGGTAATACTGAAATGGGTCAAAAGCAAGGTGTAGCTTAAAAAGTAATAAAAATAAATGTATCACATAAATTGACTTTAAAAGCAATTCTAAAAGGGTTTCCAAAAATCATTTTCAGCATCATCAGGATCATTTTGCAGTTTTTTTTTCTTTTTTTTTTTTTTTATTTATTTACGATAGTCATACAGAGAGAGAGAGAGAGGCAGAGACACAGGCAGAGGGAGAAGCAGGCTCCATGCACCGGGAGCCTGACGTGGGATTCGATCCCGGGTCTCCAGGATCGCGCCCTGGGCCAAAGGCAGGCGCCAAACCGCTGCGCCACCCAGGGATCCCTCATTTTGCAGTTTTTAATAACGGGGAAAAAATTCCTCTTAAAATATTAGGTGTAAATACCAGGTTACAAAATAGTTTGATGCCAACTATATATTTAAAAAAAAAAGGCATAGAAAAAAACTGGAACGCCAATAATGGCTTCCTCTCTGCGATGAATTATGACTGGTTTTTCTTCTTTATACTAGTAATTTCTAGTTTGTCTATAATTAAGCAGCACTTTTTTTTTTAATTAAGCAGCTCTTAAATTGGGAACTAAACCCTGCATCATTGGTAAAGGTCCATGGAAAAAGATTGGTCAGAAGGGCAGCTGTCCATCTGGATTTAATACTTTGCCTCGCTGCACGCTTTATTTTAGAAAGACTTGTGACTTTATAGATAGCACATAATACACGTAATAACATGTAATAACACCAACTTTCTCCTTGAGGATAGAGACTGAATCTATCATATAATTCTTTTATGTCCCTAACAGCACTTTAGGACAGTACTAGTACACAGCAAGTGCTTCATAAATACTTGATGGCTTCACTAAAGAGGATCCCTAGGTCCAAGGCTAATTTGATATTGCTGGGGGAGGGCAGCAGAACAACAAAGAGGCCTAAACCCCCCACTGACTTTATGATTCCGGGCATGAGCGTCCCCCCCTCAATGAATGACACAGGCTCATATCCTTCATGACAGAAAGTTAATGGTCCAGGGGTTACAGGGATTGGAACAGTGGTCAGTTAAGTCAGATGGCACAGGAAACAGAACCATAGCTCCACTAGCTGCCTCCCTTCCCAGGGTGGAGGAAAGGATGCCTGTGCCCAGCCTGCTCCTCGCCACCACCACCCTGACCCCCACCCTGCCTGGCCCCCATGAGGTCTTACGTACTGGAGTTTCGGTGGGAGCTGGCCAGGCTGTGTCCAGCCATCTCAGGGGGAGGCTGATGCCCACGGTGCAGGAACTGCTGTGAGCTGAGCATGTGGCTGGGGTGGGCCACCCGGTTCATGCTGTGGAGAACGTTGACCTGGGGAGGGAGAGCTCAGTGGGCACCCACTTCTCTGCAGGTCCTCCTCCACTTCGCTAGAGCCCATCTGCTAACCCAGCCCCACGGCATCTCCCCTGCCACTGCCAGGTCCTGGGCTCCTCCGTGCAATGTCCACTCCCACCAACTATGGCTCTCAGTCTGCTCCACCGGGGCTCCTCAACAGCAGGACAGCTGTAGAGGGAAGGAGACTCCCTAAATACCTCCACGATGAATTCATTGCTGGAGTAACGACCGTTCATCTCTGAGCAGGACAGTCGGAATTTCCTGGCGTAGAGGGCAGCTCCATGTCGCAGCCGATAATGAGCCTGCCTCAGGATCTCTTCGTACACAGTGATGCTCTCCACCCCTGCAGGAGGAGGAAGCAGCTCAGGGCAGGAGCCAGCAAAAGCTCCAGGCAGAACCCTCTCTCTCAGGCTCCCATCAGCTGATAGCACACATAGCCACAGCATGGGTCAGTCCCACCCCCTCAGCAGAGGTATGTTCGGAGTTCCCCCAAGAGATGTACCCCTCCACCCCCAGCACGGCTCTGACTGGGGTAGAGTGACTGGGGTCCATTTCCTGCTCTGCTTTTCTCTAAAAACTCTGTGGCTTCTGGGTAGGGCTGAAGAGAAGGCAATAAGGACACTATGCAAGACAGAGGGAAGAGGCAAGCTGGAGGGAAATGGAGAGAGTAAAAAATACAAAAGTCCTTGGCGAGGCTCTAGAAGAAAAAGGAAATAGGAGGAAACTAGTTATGACCATCTTCTCCCATCCTTCTTTATGGAGGAGCCTTCAGAGAACAGCAGGCTTCCTTTGGAAGCTACCAAGTCATTACCACTATTCATTAAGGTATGAGCATGTGAATTAAATCTCTGGTGTGTACGGGACATCAGAGAGGTGGAAGACATGAGAGGACAGCTAGGACCAAATACCTAGAGGATTGGAAGCCCATCAGAGAAGACTGAGCCACAGAAGGAGTGGAACCAGGAACAGAGAGGAGCCAGGGTGTAGAGAAAAGCAGGGAGAAAGAACCACTCAGGGGACGCCTGGGTGGCTCAGCGGTTTAGTGCCTGCCTTCAGCCCAGGACGTGATCCTGGAGACCCGGGATTGAGTCCCGCAACCAGCTCCCTGCATGGAGCCTGCTTCTCCTTCTGCCTATGTCTATGCCTCTGTGTGTGTGTGTGTGTGTGTGTGTGTTTCATGAATGAATAAATAAAATCTTAAAAAAAAAAAAAGAACCACTCGGGAGCCTAAACCCCAGCACACCTCCTCTAGGGGCAATCTGGAAGCCAAAGGAGCTTCCAGGCTGGGAAGGAGCAAGATGGCACTTGGCCTGGAAGGAGGACACTCTGGAATTCCCAGAGACTTGATTATGGGAAGGGGCACTCACAGAAAAAGAAGACAGGCTCTCAGTCCCCACTGACCGGCAATGGTGAGGTAGGCAGACGTGTTGGTGAGCTCCAGCCCTCGCTGCTGCAAGGATGCCATGTCCAGGAGCAAGCTTTCCCGCTCGGGGTCTAGGTCGTCACCCACCAGAGAAATCTCACAGCCATCCAGGTTGTGCACAATCTCATCTGACATGCGTGTATCTGTCACTGAATGAGAGATAGTCAGATCTGGGTCACAGCCAAAGGGCCCACCTCACCGCCATTCTTCCCCCTCCAGACTCATTCCCTGAGAGCAGTCAGCATCATTTTCAAAAATGTCATTACCCAATACTTTCTTCACACTCACAAGCCTCCTTTTGGCTCCATGTTCTAATGTAAATGGTTCTAAGCAAGCAAATGCAGGATGAAGTCACTTGCATTTCTAGCCTGATTTTTCTACCCCCACCCTCTGGTTCCAGACATGGACTGCTTCTTGCTTCTCGGGATGACATCACTCCCTGGAGTCATCCTTACCTGTGCCCTGCCAACTCTCATCCTTTTTGGCTTCCACCTGGTGAGAAATGGAGCAAGTGATTTGAAGATCAGGGAACAAAGGGATCCCCTCAGGTCCTTCAAAGTCCACAGCTGGGCGGGCAAAATGAGCAGTGCCACTCAGGAGGATCTGGGGGGCATCAGGCTGAAGAACCACCACGTAGCCCTCCACTTCGGGGATGGAGACACAGGATTCTTCACTGAAGCACCTATATGACAAGAGGGGAGAGAGGCAGCTTGTGATCCCAACATCTCCTCCCTTCCAATCCATACTCTGTTCCATCCCTCTAGACCTGCAGCTCTACAGGAAAGTGCCCCATGTTGGGGAGGGGGAAGGGAAGAAAGAGAGAGAGTATCTCTGCAGCAGTACCACTCCCCCTCTGTAGTAAAGCTGGAGGGGAGATAGCCTTTCCTGGGAGGATGCCACTGTGGGAAAGGGCCAGGGACAGATCAAGCAACTCTGACCTGCAAAGGTGAGCACATTATTAGTGCCCTAATCCAAGATTATGGGACATCTATCAAAACTTCATTCTGCAAACTGAATCTACAAAAATGTTTAAGCATACACATTTAAATTTAAATTAAGATTTAAATTAAGAAGTGGGTTCAGTAAAATACCTGGCAGATACATGCCAAAAAATATTCAACACCAAAAGTGGAGGGGAGGGATACAGTAGGGGATCCTATCCAAGGATTTCCTCCTTTGTGGTGTGTCTTGTATTCATTCCCTTCAATATCGGAGAACCCTACCTTGGCAGGTGAGCTACTATGACCTACATCCATGGTCCCACAAAGCCTCTCTGACCTTGGCACCAGAAGAGGCTCCCTAAAGCACTCAGCCAGGCCAATCAACCCACAGCACAGCTGCTCTGAAAGGTGTTCCCAGGATCACCTCCAGCCCCCTCTTTTACCAATCAATAGGAATGACACCTTACTTTCTCATCACATTTGCTGGTTTCTGAAGCATTTGCACATATCATTTCATCCAACTTTATTTGAATGCTGTGGACTCGGGATTAGAAGCCAAAGATGACCAAGCATCTTGGTCACCCAAGAAATAAGTGTCAGAGTCAAGGCTTAAACCCATTCTTCTTATTCTTAGGTCATTCTTTTTTTTTTTAATTTTTATTTATTTATGATAGTCACAGAGAGAGAGAGAGAGGCAGAGACACAGGCAGAGGGAGAAGCAGGCTCCATGCACCGGGAGCCTGACGTGGGATTCGATCCCGGGTCTCCAGGATCGCGCCCTGGGCCAAAGGCAGGCGCCAAACCGCTGCGCCACCCAGGGATCCCTAGGTCATTCTTTCCACTGAACCAGAACCACTATTTGGGGCCCAGGTTTGTCAGACTTATTTATAAAGAAGTATCCCTTGAATAAGCAGCCTTCACAAGGGAGTTGGATAACTCAAAAACAAGGCCTATGGTCCATACACTTGTGATGAGAGTGTTACTGAGTATGGCCAGCTTGACCATGGGAGCCAAAAGGGAAATGGGTAACCTCAGCAAATACAATGAACTCAGAGCCTCTGAGGTTACCAATGTCCACAACCTGCTGAGTTCCTGCACCACAAGGAGTGGGACCTAAGAATCCACATGGTCATTCCAAGAGGCCCAGATCAAAACTTCTTAGAAAATAACTTCAGGGATCCCTGGGTGGCGCAGCGGTTTGGTGCCTGCCTTTGGCCCAGGGCGCGATCCTGGAGACCCGGGATCGAATCCCACGTCAGGCTCCCGGTGCATGGAGCCTGCTTCTCCCTCTGCCTGTGTCTCTGCCTCTCTCGCTCTCTCTGTAGGACTATCGTAAATAAAAAAAAAAAAAGAGAGAGAGAAAATAACTTCAGCTGACCTAAAACCACAGGCTCCAAGAGACACCCCCATTGCAGTGAGCAATCCAAAGGCGGCCCAAAGAGCCATAGGAGGCCAGCCCTGACCCAAAGGCACTAATGATCTGGCCAAGAGCTTAGATATGACACACAACTAGAAAACAATGTCAAACATGGTCATCATCATGTAAGTGGAACAAACAAAAACCCATGAGAGTTTAGAGAGGCAGAGGTTATTTCTGGCTAGGATGGGTATGGGGCATTTAGCAAGGAATAGTCAAAAGAAGTAGCAACTGAGCTGCCTTGGAGGGACTCCCTGGAGGCAGAAGGCAGACCCTAGAGTGGATGGTGAGGAGCGTACCAAGGGGAATAGAGGAACATGAGGCAGGAAAGCTGAGGTCAGATGGTTGAGGACCTTGAGTAGAATTGTTGAGCGTTAGCCAAGAGGAGGCCATTGATATCTTCTACATCAGGGAATATGAGGATGAAAATTCTGACATAACCACTAACCTAGCCTCCGGTGGAGGGTGAACTGAAGTCAGAATACCAGAGATGGGTCAACTCATTAGGAGGTTATAGCAATAGGCTAGGTAAGAGATAATCAGAGCTGGGACTTGGAGTCATAACAGCAGAAATGGGGAAAATGGAGACAGATTCCCAATACCTGGCACAAGCAGGATCAGGGTAACCTGGCAACTGATGGGGTATGGAGGATAGACAGGGAGAAACCCAAGATGAAAAAAAAAAAAGAAAGAAACCCAAGATGACTCAGAGGTTTTAAGCCTGAGTGATTGCAAGGTCAGAGACACCATCACAGAAGTAGAGAATTCATGGGGGAGGGGCTAGTTTGGGTATCAAAGGTCATTATTTCACCTTTAGCCTGTCTGGCAGAACTAGATAGAAGTTATACCAAGCAGGGAGAAATTCAAGGGCTATGGGAAAAGGACAAAGTTAAACAAAAAGATGTGGTAGCCATTTGTTCAAGGGTTAATGCCACAAACTAGATGGGCTTTCCAAGAAAGAGGAGGAAAGAACCTTAGGGAAAATCTGCATTGACCAAATACTTGCATACATCTGACTCTAAATGGACAGAGCCCCATGAACTGAATGCTGGAAACTGGGGAAGCCATGTGGACTAGGGCAAGGATACGTATCAGAGGAAGTGAGGTACTGTTAGGTACCTGTCCCTCCCTCTTGCACACCTCTCTCTATTTTCTCCAATAACCTCAAAGAAATATTAGGTTAGCACTGACCACAAGTCAGTTCCCACCCCTTGGATAAGCCTCTCCCCTAAGCATGAAAGAGGTAGGAGGAATTCAGATGAGTCCATCAACAAAGAGGATGTCAACTCCTCCTACTGTGGGATACCCCCACACCCAGCAGAGCTCCACCATAAACTAAAAAACAGCATTCTTCCTTATGATAAGGCTCCTGAGCCTAGTGCAGGGGATGAGGCAATTTCTTGGTCTCAGGTGGGTTAAATTCTACATAACTGCCTTTTAACTGCCTTTAAACATGACTGCCCATAGAGTTAGGGACACGTAGGTGGCTCAGCAGTTGAGCGTCTGCCTTTGGCTCAGGTCGTGATCCTGGGGTCCTGGGATCAAGTCCCACATCGGGCTCCCTGCAGGGAGCCTGCTTCTCCCTCTGCCTATGTCTCTGCCTCTCTCTGTCTCTCATGAATAAATAAATTTTAAAAACAAACAAACATCTAGAGCTCCCACTAGAACATGGTGGAGTCACATGTGCCCACGTGACCCCAGCTACCTGTGGCCTTCAGCTCCACACCGTGACCACAGCACAGGCCAGGAGCATGATTCCCAAAAGCTGCTGCCCCTGCCTTCCAGAGCTCTGACTGTGAGACCCAATGATCATGCTCAGTCATTCTGTAGGGCTCGGAGTCCTCTCCTCTCTAAACCCACCCTTCCTAGGAGAGGGACAAGCCAGAGATATTTATCTTCATATTGCTTATGGAGAAACTGAGGCAGAGTAGGGAAGAAGGGAATGCTTGTTCAGGAATCCTGGCTCCTACATTGTGTTAATCCGCCCACTAGATGGCAGTATCTCCTAAAAACTGCCCCACAAACATTCTGGGGGTAAAAATGCCTGCATATAACAGCCAACTTTGGTGGAATAGGCACTCTGCTAGGCAGTTGATCTGGGTTGTATCATTTAGCTCTCATGACAGTTCTGTGAGTTAGAGTCTACTGTTATCCCTGCTTTATAGCATTTGCTCAATATGAAAAGCTAGTCAGTAATAGACTATGTCCATAACTATTATGGTTTCATTACCTCTCAATTAATCTGTATTTTTAAACACCTAACATACTTAAACTTTGAAACAATGTACAATTTTTCCTTTAAAGAATTAAAATTATTTACTTAGAATTCAAAGATCAGCAAACTTTCTGTGAAGGGCCAGATGATAAATATTTTTGGCTTTTTGGGCCATACGGATCTGTCCCAACTACTCAGCTCTGCCATCATAGTGAGATAAATAATAAGCAAATGAATGGGAATGGCTGTGTTCTAATAAAACTTTATTTACAAAAACAGACAGCAGGTCAGATTTGGCCCTCAGGCCAGAGGTTACCAACACCCAGATTTAGATCATCCTATTTGACCTTGCAAGACTAAATCAAGAATCAAGACTAAAATAGGTGAAACCAGAGCTATTTGCTCAAGATCATCCAGGCAATTAGCATTGAGTCAGAATTAATGTCAGATCTCCTAGCTCCCAGTCCAGTACCCTGTCTGTCCCACTTTACATATCAGCATAGAGGCATAGAGAAAATTAAAACCCCAAAGCCCTGGGAGCTGGGGTGGTTGGCAGAAAGAGTAACGAATTCATTGTTTAAACCTGAGTCGAGTCCAGGCTCTTCTAGAAACATTGTTATGTCAACTGAGCAGGTCAGTAGTCTCTGGGGGCCCAATCTCCTCATCCATAGAGGGAGGGAGGTGTGCATAGCCCTGGGTGACCTCTAAGGCTCAAGAGTTCTGACACTGCCTGAGTCTCCTCTGTGATTTGCCCACCCCACCCAACACTCACTTGACGGCAGTGGTGAGGCGCAGGGGCCTGACGCCAGGCGTGGCAAAGCGCAGAGTGTTCATGTAAGCCACATGCTGCAGGGCATGGTTGAAGGTCTCCACATCATCCCCCTCCAGGGTGAGCAGGGACTGCGAGGGATTCACGTGGACCTGGGCCCCAGACACAGACAGCTGAGAGCAGGACCAGGAGGCAGGACAGGAAGGGAGCAGAGGTAGGAAGGTGGGCAGGGATCGGGGGCAGGGGGCATGCTCGGAAGGACAGGGCTAGAGGAAGGGGCTATACCTTCATGCCTTTGCCCAGGCTCTCGAAATCCCTATAGTCCAGCCCCTCCCGACATGCATAGAGGCACTCGATGACCTCGCGGCTCTCCAGGCGGCCTGACCGCACGCTGAAACCAGCCAGGTAGCCGTGGAAGTAGTGGTGGATCGGCAAGGGGTCTCCTAGGGGAGGAACACAGGGGCGGACAGGAGGTGAGAGTGGGTGAGGGGAGAGGCGTCTGGAACAGGAAAGGGGCAGAGGGAAAGGGCAGAAGCCTGGAGGAAGAGCGTGAGTAAGAGAAATATGGACGTGAAAAAGGAAAGAAGAGATCAGGAAGTGAAGCTAGGGGAGACTGAAGAAAGCAGCAGAAAGGAAGCCTGAAGAGGGAGTAAATCCAAGGAGAGGACAAAAGTGAAAAACAGAAGCAATGGAAATGAGAAATTCCCCCAAGAGAGGGAAAAAGGGAAAGATAAGAGTGGGACCAAAGGGAGGAAAGAGGAGCAGGTGGAGGAATAGGAGGGGAAGGCGAGAAGTCGTGGTCACAGGGCATGCATGGGGACCCAGGGGGAGGTGTGGAGCTTCACAGATGCCCAGATCTCCCTACATGGGACCACCTCCTGCCTCCCACCATCCAGTGGATCGTGGTCTTGGAAAGCCATTAAGAGAATTCCTCCATTCCCTTCTGTGGGCAGGAAGGGACACCCAGGATTCCACCAAGCTCCATCTGGCCTTACCTCTCCAAGAGAGCCCTGCCTTGCAGCAGTAGTTCTTGGAGGCTCTGCCTCCTGGTGGTGTGGGCAGCAGTAACTACCAGGCTGGCTGGGATTTGGGGTTGGAATGGAATCGGGAACACAGCACAGAAAGTTAGGGTGAGAGCTCTCTGGTCTCCAGTTCTTATGCACAGAGTACCTTGTGTAGTGTCTGTATTGTTGTCTCCTCCCTTTTCCTTCTCTTTGTTCTTCTCCTCTGGAAGAAAAAAAGTGGCAATGAGTTCAGGGTTGTGGGGACAGATTGGCAGGGAGGAAGAAGAGGTCTTCTCTGCTCTGTCCCCTCCTGTGTAGGAATAACCTGTCCACCAATGTCACATCTCAATCTCTCTGGCCTCTGTTAGAGACCAACATTAGAAGTCTCTCTCTCTCTCTCTCTCTCTGTGTGTGTGTGTGTGTGTGTGTGTGTGTGTGTGTGCAGGCTCCCAGAAGGAAAAAAATAGCTTAAGGAAGACTGATGACTCTCTGAAGTACTATCGACCTCCAGCAGGGAAATGTACTATGAAAATCATCCCTTTGATGGAACAATGTGGGCACTGGTCAAAGTTACAGAAAGAGAGATTCTCACTCTGAGGTGATAGCTAGTTGAATAGAGTTGCAGATGGGTGAGGGGCTAAGGGGAGGACCATGGTCTCCTCCACTGGAGAGCTTTCTGAGTCACCCCGCCCAACTGCAGGGTGATGCATGAAGTCAAACTGCTCTTACTCCTTTACCAATCTTAAGCCACTATGGGCTCCAACATTCAGCGTCTTCACTGAGAAGCTCAAGGGGACTTACCAGTCCAGCAGGCCCCAATCATGAGAGCAGGTTCCCTTCGGGGTGGGTGGATGAGACCATTGTCATGGATGAGAGCAGGGTCAAATGAGATGCCATCAGCATAAAGCGTGACTGTGGGGAACTCCAGGTTCAAAGCATAGTGGTGCCACTCATCATCACAGACCTGGGAGGCAGTACAAGGGCAAGAACCCACATAAGGTACTGTCCCTTCTCCTGGGAGACAGGATACAGTCCCTCATATTCCCAGGTGTATCAGCAGGACTTACTAGTGAATTGCTGCCTACCCAACTCAAAAAATAACATCCCTGCCCCAAATCTATCAGGCACCAACCAGGTAAGTACCTATACTTCAGGGAAATCTCTAAAAATTATAAACATTCCTAGGAGGACTAACACACGATTTTGTGAATAAATTTCCCCCAAAAATGTATGTATGTATGTATGGCACTGGAAGATCTAGAGAAGTTTGTAACCCAACAGTAAAACAAAGAGGCTCCCCACAGAAGTTCCTCCTAGGGTCAGTCAAGATGGGGTTGGAGGATAGTCAAAGGAATCAGAGGTAGAAAGTTCTCTGCCTTATCAGCTTCTAAGTGCTGGAATGCCTTAAGATTCAATCTAGACCCTTTTCCCTTTTCTTTCTACACACTCTTCCTAGGAGTTACCTAATCTGTTCCTGTTGGTTCAGATGCCGCATTCATGCCTGTAACTCCAAAATCTACATCTCCACCCCACAGCTCTCCTTTGAATGCTGGTCTCTCCACTTGGAGGTCTCACAAGTATCTCAAATTTAACATGTGTAAGATGGAAGTCCACATTCCTTCCCAATCTCCTCACTTTTCCCTGGGTCAGCATAAACACTCCACTGTCGTCTAGTTGCTCAAACGGATGACCTACAGGATACCTTTCATCCTTCCCTTTCCCTCACCTTCCACATCCAATCCATCAGTATTGTCGATCCTAGGTCCAAACAGAGCTAAAAGCTGTGGGTTTCTGTGCAGTTCTCTACATTGCCATGTATCAGTCAAGTCCTCAGTCTTTACTGTGGCAACAGCCTTGTCTGGGTCCTTACGTTTTTATGTCTCTTCAATACATTCCTCCCATAGTTGCCAAAAGTAATGTCTTAAAATGTAAATCTGATCGGATCACTTCCCTGCTTTAAACCCTTCAAAAGGCTGCCTTCATAGGACAATATCTAAACAAACTTCAGCTGACAAAGTCCACTGTATAACCTGATCACTACCCATCTCTCCAACCTCATGCCCAGTCTTTCCCCCTTGTTCACTGTATGCTAATCCCACTGGCCTTCTCAAGCTTGCTGAGCACTTTCCTGCCTCAGGGCATTTGCATCAGCTCTTCCCTCTGCCTAAAACACTTTCTTCTTACCTATTTCTTATCCTTTAGAACAAAACTTAAGTTTCACCTCACTCAGGCCTTCTCTGAACATCTGGTCTCAGGTAAATTCCCTTCTCTTTGCCTTCTCCCATTCTCTATTTCAATTCTCTGCTTGTTCTTTCAGAGAATTTATTACAATTTACCATTTGTAGATGACGTCTTACTTTTTAAAAATCTACCTCTCCAACTAAAATGTAAGCTCAAAGAAGCCAAAGACTTTGTACCATCTTATATTCCATTGTATCCTTAGAACTAAGAACGGGAGAGCCTTACTTGATATTTAACAAATATTTATTGAATAAATAAGGGGAAATAAAAGAAAAGCAGAGTAATGTTGCTAATGTTAGCAACAAAGGGGAAAGATCAAGAAGCAGCAAATGGCGGACTGTGTCTTTTAAAAAGTGCCACAGAAAGTGAAAGCTTTTGTAGACAGTCCTCAATTATCAAATTTGTGGATTTTCTAGACTCTTCCTTTCCCTTTCTCTTTCTTCCACTTCCTGCCTTTTTTCAGCTGTCTGCTTACTCCACACTCTACTGGGGTTTGTGAGAAAAATAAAAGGAGATGAGAACTCAAATTAGTCCCCACCAGTCCTTGTGGTCAGCTTAGAAAAGGAATAAAGCACAAAGCACAGGCTGTATCTATCAGCTCAAGAGAGGATTTTACTCTCTTTTTTTTTCGGTCTGATTTTATTTATCCTTCATAATCACAGAGATTAGTATTAAGAGTCAACATTCCTTCTGACTTATAAGGTCTATCACATCATTTAATCCCGCAATGACCCTGATATACACAATTTCTATTATTCCCATTTAATAGGCCAAGAAACTGAGATTTAAACATACCAAGGAAGATTTCATGGCTGGTGAGTTCCCCTGGCCAGACCCAAACCCAATCTGCATACCTCAGAATTACTTACTTTCTGGCTTACAACATGCTAACTGCTTGAGAGTCAGGGATATGTGCTGTTAAAGTTCTAAGTAAGAAAAAGGTGAAATAAAACAAGGAGTGAAAGATGGCTGGTTGGGTATGATGTTAGTAGTAATGTGTTCCCAATTTCTTTTTAATCCTGGAGTGCTTTCTGTAGGAGACAAGCCTTGAAAAAGGAGAACAAGAGAACCTGGGGGTAAAGGTCAGGCACTGAAAGTGGAGCATGAAGGGGCACAGAGCAACCCAGAAAATACCAGTCCCTTCCTTCCAGCTCTCCCAGGAGCCTGGCACTGGCCTTACCTGCTCCAGCTTCCAGAGGAACTTGACTGGGCGGGCACTTTCAAGTAGAGGCCAGTAGAGGAAGGCAATTCTACAGCCATGGACGGTCAGTGAATAGTGAGAGAAGCCATCCTCTGAGGGAAGAGGATGGAGATAGAGGTCAAACATAGGGCCTGAGGCAAGAACAGGTTCACGAAAGAGAGAGGACTTGGGATTCTCATTTCTCTCTCAGGTGCTCTCCCTCCTGTATTCCCTAGAGTCTACTCTCTTTCTCTTCCTCTGACACACACAGAGTCTAGTCCAAGTGATCATGAGAGCTTCTTGAGCATTCTGACTAGCCAAGTGGAACACTGGCCAGCCTGTTCTCACTGACATTTCTACTGGTCCTTTGGTTAATGCAAACTCCATGAGTGACAACCCTTTTCAAATCAAGAGAAGTGCGGTTGGAGAAATGGCAGAAATGAAAGGTCAGGACAAGACTGAGCCAAGAAGGACGTGCTACTGCAGTTGAGGAAAGAGAGGGACTAGGAAATTGAGTCAACTAGCCCTTCTAAGAGAAGGACAGGATGGGATCAGAGAGAAAGAATGGGGCACACCACTATCCAGGCTTTTCCACTGCAGTAGACATGTTCAATGGGAGTAGACTGGGGGGCAGCCTGTCACACGGCAGGATGCAGGGGGATTGGGCAATTGCAGGAGAGAAGGGCAGCGAGTGGTCCCACTGCACTCTGAGAGCAGTAGGGTCTCAACCTGTCATGTAGGCAATAAACCACATAATTTCAGAGAGCATCAAACCTAGCACTGCCATCTTACAAATGATGAGAGACGAAGTGACCTGTCCACAGCCACAAACTGGGTGGTGACAGAGGCAGGATAAGAGGCCAGTTTCCTCACTCTCAGACCAGTGCCCTGGGGAAGGCTCACCATTCTGGACAGTGTTACACATGATGGTTTCTTCTTCCTTCTTGCCCTTGTTGGGAGTTACACCATGCTTCATCCAAAAGGACAGAGTAAAATGGTCACTGAGACTGTCCTGGGGTCCAGAGCCCAGCCCAGCTGTGCCACCCAGGGGCACCTGCACAGCTTGGGTGCCATTGAACCAGTAGATGAGGCTGCTGTCCTGGCTGTAGTGCACCGAGAGTCCCGCTGTCCAGTTGGCATTGGGGCCAGGCATGGGCAGCAAATCTACCTCCCCAGTGGCAGCACCTGCAGGAGCCCCAAAAGGCACAAGTGTCAAAGCTGAGAGGCAGCAGTTGGGGAAAAGGAAAGCAGCCAGAGCAAGAGTGACTGAAGGAGAGAGATTTCCCACAGCTAGTCTCATGGCCTTTTCTGGCCTTTCAAAGACACAAGAGGGTGGACCTCTCTTCAAGGAATGGCTCTCCAACTAACTCATTCTCCAACCCTTCATCTCTCTCTGCCATTGTTCCACAATGTACCTGGTGACTGTCACGTGCTAGCATTATGCATCTTTCCAAATGATATATTGATTTGCTTTGGGGGCCACAAGAGTTAAGCACATGCTACAACCTCTATGGATATATACACCTTGTAGGTGAGCAAGAGAAGATGTAGAGCAGAGTCTTAGGAAAGAGGCAGAGGAGGGTCAGGCAGAGGTCTTTGGAAGGGGAGGGCACACCCACCACAGAGTTTCCTCAGGGCCCGCTCTGAGTAGTTGTCACGGTCGCAGCCCTTGGCCACATGGCTGGTCTGCAGCTCTATAGTGGCCTGAATATTCCAGAGAGGTTCATCACAGGTCTCCAGGCGGATACCAGGGAACAAAGCCAAGCTCCCTGCACCTGGTGCATATTCAATCCTTTTGTTCCAGCCTGCATGGGAGAAAGGGAGAGGGTAGTGGAGAGAGAAGAGAGGAAGACAACCCCTCTTATCCATTCTGCTCTTGTCATGTCCACTCACACTCTTGGGTAGACAGCCAGGGTAGACAGCTGCAAGTCTGCCTCCAAATATCTCTACCCTGGCTCCTAACCTAGCCCTATGGAGAGATCAAGGTGAAAGACAATTCACAAAATGGATCACAGAGCAGAGCTCCTCACCTTGCCAGCTGGGTTTACAGGTAGGCTTCACCTGGATCTCCACCTCAGCATCATCCGCTGCCCGCTTCTTCCCACAGTCATAAGCTGTCACTGTGAACTTATAGAGCCTCTCACCACTGTACTGCAGCTTCTCTGTGTTTTCAATATTTCCTATGATGGGTGTGGTGGAAAACAAAGAGGGTAAGGAGCGCTAGAGAAAGCCTAGGGAGGCAAGATGACTCATGAGTCAATTGGGCAGCAGATGAATTAGGTAGCAGGGAGTTGGGAAGGATGTATCTGGGGGAAAAAGGCTCTACATTGGGAAGGAGGTTATGGAATGATGATCTGAGAGGCACAAGTGGAGAGCTCAGCCCGGGATCCTCTGAGGGATATGGGCATACAAGGGATGGGCAGCTGGAGTGGACAGGAGATGGACTCACCGTCATTATCTATGAGGAAGGGAGTGTTGGGTGTAAGGATCTCATAGTAGCAGATCTGGCTGTACTGGGGGGAACAGTCACCATCAATGGCTTCCACCCTCAGGATGCGGTCGTACAGCTTCCCCTCAGTTACGGCAGCGCGATACAGCCGCTCCACAAACACAGGGGCAAACTCATTTACATCGTTGACCCGCACATGCACAGTCGCCCTGCATGTACCAGAGCAGGAGGAGGGACAAGGAAGAATCAGCCAGCCTCAGAACATAAAGAGAAGCACAACTAGGAATGCGGACAGGGATCCAGGGCAAACAGGAGCCAGTGTGTCCTGAGCTAAGGTCCATGGGCATGCTTATTCCACCCGCCCCCAGGAGACCAGGTCCCACAGGGAAGGGGATACTGAAATAAGGGGTAAGGAACAACCCCAGGGGATACCAACTGCTGACTTGGAGTACTCCTGTACCAAATGCTATAGGCTGGGTGCCAAGATGAGGGACACAACAGAATTTTGTATCCAGCTGGCTGTTCCCCCATGATAGTCAGCTCCAATGGCATAATCAAAGAAGACACAGAATAAAAGCCAAATTAAAACCAACCAGAGAATGGAGAGCCTGGCTAGCTCAGTCAGTGGACAGCCAAATCTTGGGTATAGAAATTACTTAAAAATGAAAATCCTTATGGGGTACCCTGGGCTCCACAGTCATTTGAGCATCCAACTCTTGGGTTTGGCTCAGGTCCTGATCTTAGGGTCATGAGATCAAGCCCCACATTGGACTCCCCACTCAGCTCAGAGTCTGCTTGAGTTTCTCTCTGCCTCTCTCTCTACCACCTCCACCCCTCAAATAAATAAACAAGTCTTTTTTAAAAAATTAAAAGAAAATAAAATCTTTAAAACCAACCAGGAGAAGGAAAGTGATATTTATATAAAAGCCATAAGTCATCTGACGTGAGTGCAAGAGGAGTGCTGCCTTCTGTGCATGTGTGTGCAATGTGCATGTCAGGTATGGCTCCCCCCTACTCAGGCCCCATGGGGTAGGCAGCCCTGGGACTATGCCCTTCATGCTGAGCCTTGCCCCTCACCAAGATCTAGGCACATTTCAATAAATGTATGTATGTATGCATTTCCAGAGGCAGGGTCCTATCTCCAAATGGGAAACTAAGTCACAAGGAATCGTTTATCACTGGTCCTTCTTACTGGCCCAGGAACCCTGAATGCCAATCTTTCTTGGTTCTCAGAAGAGAAGTTAGCTGGACACAGTCATAGGATTCTCAGGCCCCAGTTTTCTTCATCTAGCCGACCCTCACCTCGCGCTGTGCATGTGTGTATCGTGTGTGTGAGTACGTGCATGCTGCAGACTGGTGGGGCAGGTGGAAGGAATCCAGATGCGTGCTGAGATGCTCATCATCCTCCTCCTTGTTACCCTCCTCCTCATCATAACTCCCATGTACTGAACCTTTCCCATGTATCAGGCACTGTGGTACATGCTTTTTACACAAACCATCTCCTTTACCCTTTTTCACAGCAACCTAGAAAAATAGGGATCATCATTTTCTCCATTTTGCAAAGAAGTAAAAGTGAACCCAGAAAGGCTAAATAAGGGGATCCTTGTGTGGCTCAGTGGTTTAGCACCTGCCTTTGGCCCAGGACGTGATCCTGGAGTCCCGGGATCGAGTCCCACATCGGGCTCCCGGCATGGAGCCTGCTTCTCCTTCCTCCTGTGTCTCTGCCTCTCTCTCTCTTTCTCTATGTCTATCATAAATAAGCAAATAAATAAATCTTTTTAAAAAAAGAAAAAGAAAGAAAAGAAAGGCTAAATAAGTCGCCCAAGGTCATAAGAGGCAGAACCAGGGTTAGAGCCCATAAATTTGACTACATGTTTCTATCACCTTGAATGAAGGCTCCTGGAGGACACGATGAACAGAGGGGGAGGGGTGGATATCCAATGCCAGCATGGACAGAGGAAGATGAGGGACTTGGGAGGAGGGAGGAGGAGGACCCAGCAGCAGGGAGCAAGAGGCAAGGGCTTCCTCACTTGTGGGACTTCTTGGTGTTGGCCCCGTCTGGGCCCTCGCCACAGTCATAGGCCTGGATGGTGAAGGTGTGCTCCTTCTGGGCTTCACAGTCCACTGGCTCCTTGGCCCGGATCAGCCCTTCTCCAGTTGCTTTGTCCAGAATCACGGCCTCAAAAGGTACCCCAGACCCATGGAGCCGGAAGCCACAGATCTCACCTGGTCCAAGGGGGAAGGAGGAATGAGGCTTCTTCGCCTTGGCCACTTCCAGCATCTTCTTCCCAGCCTCAGCCTCCCCGCCTTGGGTTCTGCTTCATCTCTCCTCCCAACCCCCCCCTCCTTGAATGTGGGAAAGTGTTAATTATCAGACATACAGCTCTAACACCAGCTTCCCAGAGCTGCAACCTCTCAGAGCTACTGGGTCTGAGATGTGACAAAATCTTGATGTGGTTAACACCTGCCTGCCCACATCTTTCTTTCTGGCTCCTTCTGCTCAGCCACCATCATTAAATCTACCTCTACCACTTTGCCGAAGCTTCTTCCCCACTTCCACTGCTCTCCCTCCCAGGACTTCCTCACTCCTCCCTTGCCTTCTGCCTTCCCAACCACTTTTTCTCTGTCCTACCCACCTTGCCATCCCCCAGCCCCAATCACCTGCATAGCGCAAGGGGGCATCCTTGTCCAAGGCAAAGAGTGGTGGGTTCAGCAGGACCGTGTTGTCATTCTCCATGATGATACCTTGGTATTCCGCCTCGATCCATGGCTTGTGCTTGTTGGCTGTCCCCCCCACCCAGGGAGAAGAGAGGAAGCACCTGTGAGCTGGCCCTCCACTCCCATACATCCCAGACACACTTATATTCCAGCATTATCACCCTTTCCACCCGCTACAGAAGCACCTGCAGGAGGAAGGGCTGAGGACAAGAAATCAGCATTAAAGGAATCAGAGGATCTGAGAAAGGTTACAGGCTTCTCCTACCATAGGATAGGCAGTTTCCATGGCAACAGCCTACTCTGGGGGTAGAGAGGCAACCACTATCTCCACGGGGAAACCTGTGGTCAGAGGGTGAGGAATTTTCTTTGGGAATTTCAAGTGCTAGAAAGTGGAGACTGGAGATTCAGAAAGCAGTGGTAGGCCATTTAGAAGGCCCTGGGAAAGGGAAGGGATAGATTAAGAGCAGAGTTGAGATGAGAACAAGAAGATCTAGATGTTTCCTGAGATCCTGACTGTTTATCCTCTCCACTGCCACCATTACCCCATCTCAGTCCTGATCCCTCCACTCTGCATTTCTCCCAGGCAAACCCCAACCTAAGTCCATTCAACCGAAGAGAAAAGAAAATATAGGACAGAAGAAGGGGGACAGGGAGGGGCAGGGATGGAGCAGAGGAATCAATGCCAAATGACTAGACCCAGCACAGCCGACATCCTAAGGGATTATTGAACTGGCCTAGAAACATGACAAATCCCCTCCCTGCTCCTCATCCCTATACCCAAGAGAGCACTCATAGCCAGTACATCTCTGTGTCCCCCACAAGGCCACCAAGCCCCACACTCCCTGAACCCCACTTTTTACACAGACTCATGACTTAGTCCTACTTCTTGCCTATCCCACCCCTCTTCCCTTCAACCACCAGCCAACCAGGAAGGATGCGGGACTCACTCAGCCTCTAGATTTCCCTATCTCCTGCCACACTCAGCTCACTCAATTGTGTCTCCTCCCAGGACTGATCTCCCACTAGCTGGTGAGGGGCTCTGGGGACAGCACAGTGTGTTCCCTTCCCCTCTACATCATCCCCTACCCCAACTGCACTGCTTGCTCTGTCTAAGCCCATCATGCCAACCACTGGGCTCCCAGGGCCCATTCATGATGGCCTATCAGTGGAACATGGGTGGAGGAAGACATATCATCAATGGGAAACTGAGTCACCAAAAGGAAACCTGCCCAGTGTGGGATGGTGAACAAAAACTCCTCATTTCCAGTCTTCCCTCCAATCACACTACAAAAAAAAAAAGCCTTCTGGTACCAGAATGCCTGCCCCTTTCTCGAAGATGATGACCAGAACCCCCTTCTCTAATGGCAGAGGAGAAAGCCACAAGATGGTGCTCAGAAAGTAACACAGGAAGTGGTGGGAGGCTAAGAAGCTGGGCTGAGGTCAGAGATTGAGGTGAGGAACTACAGCCTGCAGATGAAGGGGCTGCGGTGCAGCAGGCCGGTGCTGGACACCCTCTCTACAGCTCACCCCCAAGTCTCCCAGTTCCTGTCCTCTTGTCCACAGACTCTTCGTGCTCATTTCCTTCACTCACTCCTGGCTCTCTGTCCTTCCTTCCTTAGCTTTCTCTTCCCCCTCTCCTCACCTGTTCTTAAATCTCCCATCCATCCTCTCTTTTTTGCCTCCACCTTTACCCTCTCCCATCTCCTTCTTGTCCCCCTCCCATGCCTCATCTCCCTACTCCTTCTCAGCTTTCCCTCTCACCACTCATTTAGCACCCCCCCACACACACACCTACTTCTGCCCTTACCTGCCTTTCTCCACCTACCTGAGCCCTGTCCTCCCCCTCCCCTCTATCCCTCCCCCCCTCCACCCGGGTCCCTCCTTTGGCCTCACCCAGCTGAATTTCTCTGCTGTCTGCCAGAGAGGGCAGCTCTGATAACCCTCAGCCCAGCTGTATGCAGGGTACAGATGCAGAGGAACACGCCAAAACATACGTGCTCCGAATTGCTGAGCTGCAAGGAACTGTTTCTCCCCAGGATGGGATGGGGATGAACCAGATGGATCTGCCACACACTCTCAGTGCGGGCACACCCCAGTGAGCGCAGAGAACTATCCAGAGATGTGTATCACCCTTCAGGGGCAAGTCCTTCTGAGACCTGAGATATCTCCCACAGGCAGAAACTGGAGGCGGGAGACACAGAGACCCAGGAGGAGAATGAGGACCAAATGGGAGCCAGAGAAGCACATGGGCAGAAAGGGACCAGAGAGGACGATGTGGGGAAGGGGATGTGAAGGAGAGAAGGGGGCAGCTCTCAGAAAACGTATAGGAAGGGGGATGGTCAGGAGAAACCACACCTGTCATTTGCCAGAAAGCTTCCACGACCCCTGCCCACCCCTACCCCTACACGGGCTGCTGGATACCCCTCTCTCAGGGCCCCCCTATCCCCATCTCACTTACCTTTGTTAGAGGAGCTGGAGGGGAACAGGGAGGCCAGCAAGAGGGGTAACAGCAGGAGGATCATGGTGTGGTGTGGTGTGGGCAGGGGAGGGCAGGGCAGGGCCAGGCGATCGCTCTCCCCCAGGAGCCTCCAGCCGGCTGATTCCACCCTTGGGGGAGGGATGCGAGGGGCTCTCCAAGGAGGGGACGGAAGATAGCGGGCCGCAAGGCAGGGACAGAAAAGGCCCTGCCGCCCACACTAGTCCATAGAGCAGACCTACGCAGACCCCAACCTGGGCGGCTGAGGTGAGGGACTTGCAGAGGCTTCTCGTTCGCTCTGGAGCCGGGCGTCCTCACTCTCTCCCTCATTCCCACCCCATCCCCGCTACTGCAGGATGACGTCAGCACGGCCAGGCGCGGACTGATGGGGCCGCTGGCCAATCGGGTGGCTGGGGGGGCCAGGTGCTGCAGGGGGGGAGGGAACCAATGGGACCGAGTAGCAGGGGCGGGAGACTGTGTTAGGGCTTTTTCCCTAGACTGCAATTTGGGGGAGCAAGGGAACTGCGGGGGCTGGGGAGGAAGCTGGAAAGCCGTAGAGGGGGTGGGAAATAAGAGGGACATTGGGAGAATCGAGAAGCCAGAAGCCTGGGGGTGGGAAAGGAAGACGTCAACGGAGACCTGAGGGAGGCGAAGAGGAGCAGTATCACGTCACCCGCCCCCCCCCCCAACTCTGCATTAACCTCTTTCCACAGCCCATTCCATCAGCAAGTCCCTGCTGCGTGCCTCCTGGGAGCCTTGAAGCAAAACCCACAGCCTGAAACCAAGAGATCCTACCTAGCTTTTCAGTTCTCAGCCCCGGGTGTCTGAGGAAACCATGGATGGTCAGCAGGGAGGTGGAAAGCGTTCTGGGACTGGAGAAAGAGGCAACGATTTGTGCGCGCGCGCTGGGGCGCGCATACACACACACACACACACACACACACACACACACACACACACACACCTGTCGAGAAGATACACTACTAGTTGGGCTTTTGTCCACCACCTAAGCTCCGTGCCTCCCCCTTCCGAATTTCTCACCTTACACCATGATGAACCAACCCAGTTGATTCTGAAGCCAGGGAAGTTGGTAGGTTTGAAAGAGCAAGAGAAAGAGAGAGAAAAGGGGGTGGAGGGTGGAGGTGAGGTACACAATAATTTAGGCAGCCCCCACCATGGTAACATGCACAGTAAGTGTGAGCTGTCCAAAGACTGGGAATTGGAGGTGATAAACCAGTGACTTCAGAGGCAGAGGGAAACCCCTAGGTTCCAAGCCAAAATTTTCCAAAATAACTAACCAAACTCCTCCCTCACTTTCTGCTCAGGACTTTGAACGCAACACATTTTGACAACAGCTCATCGCACTGACAATCCCCTCTGTGCTTGGGAAGAGCAATTTCTCTTTTCCTTCCTAATGGCGCCACAGGACAAACAGTTTGGAATGCCAGAGTCAGGGGCCCCAACTCCGCGAAGCTGTCTGAGAGAGTTGTGGGAGGCAGCACTAGAGCATTTTCTTCACTGTGGCTCCTGGCCAGCTGACTGGTCCCCATCTTTCCCCACACACCCCTCATACCTTCCTGGATCCCTGACTCAGTCCCAGGATCTCAGGATATTGTTAGAACCCATCCCTGCATGAGGCTGGAAGCCCCCACTCCAACACAGCAATACTAGACCTCACCCCAGGGAGACTGCCCCCCCCTCAGAGCTCTGGGACATTTCCCAAGCCTGCTGGAAATGGACCGGAAGCCAAAACTCACCTTCAGAAAGGCTCAAGTCTTAGATGATTGACCAGCTCCAGATCCTGCTCCAGGTTCCTTCCTCAAGAAAAGGTGAGGTCAGGCACCAAGCTGCCAAGTTCCTACCCCTCCCTCAGGCTGCAGGCACCAGCCCCAAACTCATTATGGGAGGAGGGAGGAAGTCTGGCAGGAACTCTTATTGCAACAGGGCCCAGCCCTTTAAAAACCCTGGTAAGCATAGACCTCTACACAGTCTCTGTGTGTGTGTGTGTGTGTGTGTGTGTGTGTGTGTGTGTGTGTAGGCCAGCCTGGAGTCTCTCAGCCTCACCTGCCAGACAACACCCGCTTCCTGCATACCCTGCCTGCTATATTCTCCTGAAATCTCAAGCTCCATCTTGGCCAGCCCAGACAATGCCTCCCAACCTCACCGGCTACTACTGCTTTGTCTCACAGAAGAACATGGAGGACTACCTGCAAGCCCTAAGTAATGGCCTCACCCTCCCAGACCCCTTTCACTCCCCTTTTTCCCTTTCCCTCCCTGTCTCTCTGTCCCATTGAGTAGAGGGAGTACTGGGGTTGGATGCTGTGGAAATGCTCAAGTGGTGACTGACCCCTGACTTGGGATCCATTTCTAGCCAGGGCATTGGTGGGAGAGAGTCAATCTATGGTCTCAGACCCAGCTAAGGGGTAGCCCACAGCCTTAAGGTGCCGCTGTAGGTGGGGATGCCCCTGGCTGGCTTGTAGGAGCCCCGCTAAGAGATAGCCCCCACAGACATCAACATGGCTCTGCGGAAGATTGTGCTGCTGCTCAAGCCAGACAAGGAGATTGACCATCAGGGCAACCACATGATAGTGAAGACCCTCAGCACGTTCCGCAACTACATTTTGGAATTTGAGGTGGGAGTTGAGTTTGAGGAAGATCTAAGGATCGTGGATGGACGAAAATGCCAGGTACTTTTCCTGAGGCTTGGGGGACAGCACATGGGGGAGCATGTAGGTGCCTCCTAACAATCTGGGGTGAAACGAAGTGACCTTTCCCAACTAGAGAAAAGTGATCACTACAGCAGGCTGCAGAGTCCCCTAGGTAACAGTTCCCAGGTGCTCCCCCAACCGGCTCTTTCCTGCCCCCTCTTATCGCCAGCCAAAAGAACACAAAGGACAGGTCACCCTCAGTCCAAAGGAGAAATATTTGTTCACCCTCTAGACTGTGACCCTGTTGATCACTGCAGTCTCTTTTCCCTTAGCCTCTATGACTCCACTCTCCTCTATTTCTTTCTGTTTCTTACGCTTTTCTTTTGTTCTCCATTGCAGACTCTAGTTCCCCTATTAATCCCTTTAACTGGGATTCCCCCTAATATTTTGTCCTTGACTTTCTCTCTTGTCTGTACACAGACAAAGTCTAAATCATCTATACCCATGCTTTCTGCTACCATCCATACACTGTCCTGGACATAGATTCTCCAGCCAGAGCTGCCTCCTGAGCTCCCGGGTAAAGTTTTCATCTGCATGCACAATGTTTCCATCTGTATGCCTGAAGTTCAAAGCCAAATTCATTACCTTCCTACCCAAACCTATTCCTGCTCTTATATTTACTGTCTTCATTAATGACAATAGCCAGCCAGGCCAGACACCTGGGAGTCACAGCAATATCTTCTGTCTCCTTACCCCTGCACCCCAACACACACACACACATACATACACGTGCACCACATCTAATTGGTCAAGAAGTCTTTGTAACGTTTCTTCACTGTCCAATATAGTTGCTACTGGCCATATATGGCCTTTGAACACATGAAATGTAACTATTTCAAACTGAGGTATAAGTATAAAATACATAGTGGACTTTTGAGAAAATACCAAAGAATGTAATCACATGCTGAAATTATACTATTTTGAATATTCTAGGTTAAATAAGATATAATATTAAAATTAATTCCACTTGTTTCTTTTTCCTTTTCTAATGTGGCTTGTGTTTGTGGCCCATTATATTTCCACTGAACATCTCTGATTCTTCTTAGCCTTTCTCACTAGTGCCGCCTTCATTCAAGTCCTCATTTCTGACCTCGTGCCGAAACCAGCCCCCAATCTTAATCCTTCTCTAACCCACTCTGCATACTGTAGCCACAAAGATTTATCTAAAATGTAAAAGTGACCATGAATGAAACCCTTTCAGTAGCAATCCATTATATTCTAGATGAGATCCGTAGCATACAATGGTCTTTCCCACAAATGCTCTAGTTTAGAGCCCCTTACAACTGTTTGGCCTTCTTTCTTTTTTTTTTCCTTTTTCAAATATCTATCTATTCTGCCCCCCCCCCACCTCTCTAGGAGGGAGGCACCAATGGAGAAGGAGAGAAAAGAATCCTCAAGCAGACTTCCCACTGAGTGGAGAGCCCAATGGAGGGCTCAATTCCACTACCCTGAGACCACTACCCTAGTTGAAATCAAGAGTCAAACACCCAACTGACTGAGCCACCCAGGCACCCCTGGCCTTCTTTCTTACCTTTATGCTGCTCCATTCCTTGCAAGAAATTTCCCAGTATCTCCAATCTAACTAGCTCCTCACTTTCTTAAAGACTGAGATCTCCCTATTCCCATTCCCAACACTTGCCTGGCATCATAGATATCTGTTTCCTGCTCTATCTGATCAAGATGCTGAACTCCTTGGTTAGCATGGCCTATTTTATGGAAAGGTTTAATAAATGTTGATTGCAATGCCCAGGGGACTCAGGAGGTTGTCTCAGGGACACTTCAGCTGTCCTTAAAACTCAGAAAGAGGAGAGATTTCCTGATAGGACTTCCAACCAGTCCTCTTCTTTCCCAAATGACCCTCCAGTCCATCTGGAAGTATCCAAAGGACAAAGTTAGTGTTCTTCATCATCCACCCATCCCCAAATTTTACCCTTGGTTATCCTGTTCCATCCTTGGTCTGCCCTAGTAGTCACTGTAGACAAACTATGAGCCTTCCCTCAGTGGCCTTTGGGAGTTGAGGAGGGGAGTCCTGTAGAATCAGAGCAGTCCTCTCACTCAGAATGAAAGATAGTAGCAGCTGTGGTGTGAAGTGGGACAGCTCAGCCAGAGTGAGTTGGATACATTTGGGTGTTCTGCCCCCAAATCTTCCCTATTCCTGCTTTCCCTATAGACCATAGTAACCTGGGAGGAGGAGCAGCTGGTATGTGTGCAGAAAGGGGAGGTCCCTAACCGAGGCTGGAGACACTGGCTGGAGGGAGAGAAGTTGTATCTGGTAAGCTTGGTGAGGGTTGGGAGAGGGGCTTCCAGCTAGGACTCACCCCCTTGCCCAAATCAAATCAGCCTCCTACTCCACTCCCTGCCTACCTCCAAGGAAGGCAAGGAAGAAAGGAAAACAAAAGTGCTGGGAAGAGTAGAGAGAGAAAGAAATAGAGGGGAGCAGATGGGCCCTAGCTACCAGTCAGATGAATGTCCATATATCATGACCGGAGAGATAGAGGCTTAGCCATTTCACATTCTGTGACCCAGATCCTTTCCTCCCTCTGGGGTAAAAAGTTGAAGTTGTAGGATAATGAAACAATTCTCCATACATCAAATG